ACACAAGCCACTATGAATTGAAAGCAGCTTTCTAAGCATTTGCGGCACTAAATTACTCACGGAAATGAAAAAAAACCCTGGTTTTTTCGATCTCAGATTTTAAATAAATGCAGTTAATATACAAAATATATAAATATTCAAACAACTCAATTAGTACTAATTGGGCTTTGGCACAAATACAGCGTATCAAAGGTTTTTATATCTTTTTACACGTAGACTGTTGTGAAACTGAGCATAACCAGGTGTTTGAAGATCAAGGTGAATGTCCATGACCTATGACACCTTGACGACAGGTAAAAACAGGTAAAAACCCACGTGCATGTGATTTGTCAGTGGTTAGTGATTTGTCAGTGGCATTGTGGGATAGTGAATCATCGTCAAAATATCAGAACGTAAAAGTAACATATTCCCTTCTCAAACAACTTACATGTCATTATTATTATGTACATAAACATAGCTGTTATTTTGATAACTTTTTTCCAGGCTAATTTCCATAATGCCTATAGCCTGTATCTGCCTTGTCATTTTGGACTTAGTTTTATTTTTGAATGTTGAAAGTGCCTACAATTACCTCCTGTAAAGTACATTTTGTATTGAGCACTGAGATAAAACTAGCAAATCAAGACTAGTACTTTTCCAGTTGTTTTGTTATTTCGTATTTACATCTACGTAATGCTTTGTGTCGATTATTAAATCCAGCAAAACAGTTTTTTTCCATTTCCATGAGTACTTTAGTTTCAAATTGCCGACTTGCATTCCCAACTATGCCTTATAAAGTATTTTAAGTCAGACATACAGTCCGTATAAGTAGTTTTTGAAAACGTATTCCGCTAACATTGTAACATAACAATATGATTATTTCCTTTTTTATTACGAGTTTGAATCGTTATCGATCGTGTAGTTGTCCGATTTTCGATCACGAACGTTAAAACAACCTAATTTCGTTTATAATAAATAACGGAAGAAACGATGAAACATACATGTAAACACGCGCGCGCACTGAATATCACAGGCAACATTGTGTGTAGAAAAACATACTGTCCAAGTTAGCCAATGGAATTTATGCCCGGGTAAAAATATTTGCATAAAGCGAATTCCGACCTGTCGACAACGGACAAGTACGTAAACCATCTGTCTTGTCATTGAATAAGATCATGTTTTCTTCCCCATTTATATTTATACTTAATGTTATTATTCTTGCAATTGCTATAGTGTAAATTATAGCTTATTCAACATATTGTTGCCATAACACGCGCAATTGAACTTGCAACAAACACCCGCCTGAAACACGTGGTGCTCTTTGTGATGCTGATGTATCCCATAATTATTATTGTTCGTGTTCCCTAATAAATGGAGCTGTTGATGACATCTGAACACGATTTCAGAATGAACATATATATTTGGTGGGACTAAATATTTCATAAAGCAAAGAAACAAGACAACAGGCGTACGGATTTCTTCCGTTGACTTTTATTTCTAACATCCTCAAATAAACGATCAAAACGATATGCCTTAACTGTTCCATGACGTGGATGAAATAACTAATCAGCTGCTACCGTATTTTCTTGAGTATAGTGCGCAATATTTGTCCAAAAAACATAGCTGTGTAGAAGAGGGTGCGCATTATACACGAAATAATGACTTTTGATGATTTTTCCCCCCCATGGAAAGATATTGCCGTGGGCACGTAACACCGGAAATACCATGTCAACAATTCCATACTAAAGTACGCAAATTAATAATGTAATTACACTGTCTGGCTATAAAAAGTGTTGGTTTTTTTATATCTGGACTTATGTACGTAACTTATTTCATTAATTCTATTCAAAATTCCTTTAAATATTGTTTTAATTAATTTCGGCGAAATCGAATGCGAAGCGAGCGGAAGATCGCGCAACTCACCTTTTATTAACAGCGACCACGGTCAGATTACTGCTATTGACGCCTTGAAACGAACTTTAATTGACAGAGAATGGATACATATATCATAAATGCCATACTTTGACTCGTTAAAAGTCATATTTGTTATAGTTTGACGATTCTATGTCAACACGTAGTTCTCTCGATCACGTGCGCGAGAGCCTTGACGGTGACTGGTCAGACTGGTTCCATGTAAAAAATTATTACCCGGCAATAGCGATCAGCTGCTTCGCTTAGGGTTATTATTATTTAAAATATGTTTAGTAAAAGCTGCAACTAAATTAACAAGATATTGGGATATATTATTACTGATAAAAAATAGTTTCAGATACAATTTTTGCCGATCCTTGCATTAAAATACTGTAAAGTTATATATCATTGGGTGTGTCTTGACCGTATCACCGGTAGATTCCAAGAAAACGTGTGTACAGCTGATAGCTGTGTCCGGCTTAGTTTACGAGAAAATACACAAGGTAATCTTAATCCCTGGATGTAAAACAATGCCTGGCAGAACAAAAAATACAATTTAAACGATAAATAAATTTGTCTGGTGATTTTTTATCTCAAATTTTGAATTTGTACTGACCAAGTTTCTCATCACCCGTTCGTTTACCGGAATTCGCTGAAGGGGTAGATCTACAGTGTAATTTATTTCTGCACTTGACATTTGATTTTCCCCCCTAAAATACTGAATCCGCTAGAGGGGGTTGCGCACTATACTCAAGAAAATACTGGTAATTGATATAGGAAATACCCACACACTTGTGTGAACTCTCAACATCTACTGAATGTCGTATTGAATCGTAGACCATTCATTGTGTGCTATGATGAATAGATAAACCACTAAACTCGTGAAGTTCACGTAATAATTTTCAAACAATCCTGATAGTGCAACAAGTTAATTTTAAATCACACACATTCAAGTACACACACGTCTTTCCATGTATCCACATTCACCCGCTAACCGCACAGGCCGCAGACACCTAAACGAGCCTCCTGGTGGTAATGAAGGCCGGGAATCAACCAAGCGCTAACGGTGAAGTGACACCAATACACAGGACATTCAAAGTCCTTTTACACGCGCTTCAGTGACTTTGCCCACGCACGCGAAAAACCGGGTCCTGCAGTAGGAATTGAAAATCCACATCCCAGAGAGGCCACCCTGACTGCTCATGTTGTTTTTGTCATGGAATATACGCAAATGTTTATGTAGTGATGAGTCATGAAATCGTTAATCACTTAGTAAATGTAAGGGTTTTTTTCATTTATCAACTCAAGAGAAAGATTTTCTGTTGAAAACACATGTCACAATCAATTATTGTGCTCCCCTGTGTGAAGCACAGACAGTCCGGTAGCGCTGTGTGGTCATGGAGACAGGATGACATTCAGACAGTACAGATCAATCCTGCCAGCACTGGATATACAACACTGACGTGAAACATATTATGTAGACTGACATTTAGTCCGAGTTATAATTATGTCCACAAAATAATTTACAAAATAAAATAAAAATGTCTATGGAGCCCAGAAAATGCTTAATTTCATTAAATGCCTAATCATTCTAGGCGTGAGTTGGACTCCATCCAGAAATTAAGTTTTTAACTGGGAGGATAATAATGGATGTTATAGTGCTGAGTGTGGTGTTTGGAGTTTAGTAATGGATGTTATAGTGCTGAGTGTGGTGTTAGGAGTTTAGTAATAGATGTTATAGTGCTGAGTGTGGTGTTAGGAGTTTAGTAGTAGATGTAATAGTACTGAGTGTGGTGTTAGGAGTTTAGTAATAGATGTTATAGTGCTGAGTGTGGTGTTAGGAGTTTAGTAATGGATGTTATAGTGCTGAGTGTGGTGTTTGGAGTTTAGTAATGGATGTTATAGTGCTGAGTGTGGTGTTAGGTGTTTAGTTATGGATGTTATAGTGCTGAGTGTGGTGTTAGGAGTTTAGTAATGGATGTTTTAGTGCTGAGTGTGGTGTTAGGAGTTTAGTAATAGATGTTATAGTGCTGAGTGTGGTGTTAGGAGTTTAGTAATAGATGTTATAGTGCTGAGTGTGGTGTTAGGAGTTTAGTAATGGATGTTATAGTGCTGAGTGTGGTGTTAGGAGTTTAGTAATAGATGTTATAGTGCTGAGTGTGGTGTTAGGAGTTTAGTAATAGATGTTATAGTGCTGAGTGTGGTGTTAGGAGTTTAGTAATGGATGTTATAGTGCTGAGTGTGGTGTTAGGAGTCAGTAATAGATGTTATAGTGCTGAGTCTGGAGTTAAAATGTTAGCATATTGTTGCATATGCTCAGAAGCCTTAAGCTTTTTTTAGATTTCCTTGTTAGATTGAAGAAAATCAACCACTGATTGTATTGTATCGTTTTGTTTTTCAATTTCTAATGTTTTGTGTTCTGTAAAACCTTTGGATTGAGTGAGTAAGTGAATATGTTCTTATGCCATTTTTAGCAATATTCCAGCAATATGACGATGGGGGACACCAGAAATTGGCTTCGCACATTGTACCCCTGTGAGGAATCGAACCCGGGCCTTCGCTGTGATGAGCCAATGCTTTAACAACTCGAATATATCAACTCCACTAAACCTTTTGCGTGCAAACTGTTTTCAACATATGAACCAAGTCATTCAGACATATTGTTAAATATCAAGTCAGGAAAGTCAGATAGGTAGTTGCCTTTACAAAAGTAGCCAAACCCAACATGTCTGCAATCTAAAAATAGATCCATTTGAATTGATTTAATGCATCTCATATGGTAAAGACTATGCAGAGCATAAAATACAAGGAACCAGTTTATGCGACAAGGGATGAATGTCATCACTTCCATTATATCACTGTCAGGAACAAGGTATCATAGATCTTTCTGTTATTCGTGTACAAGATGGCAGATTAAGTGGCATGCATTGATGAATGGAGGGTGTGTTCATCAAAAATTAGAAGGAGAATTTATTCAGTAGATGTGTAAACATGCAAAAAGCTTATTGGCCCCCCAACATATCCTTGGTGCAAATGTGATCTTGCACTTTTCAAACTAGGTGAACTTTGTGAGATGAGATTCAGTATTGCGACCCTTCTGTTCTGTTCAGGTACTGGGGCTTCGACTGTTGAAGAGTACGAATGTTTGAAGGCCAAGGTGAAGGCCATCTGTTCGTTGTTGATGCTTCTCCACAAGATCCATGACCAGAACAAGCTGATGCCAGGTAGGTCCGGGGAATGCTATTGCTTGGTCATGTGACTTTCGGGTAACTCCCAGACATGACATCAACACCTTGCTCTTCAGAACACCGTAGTTTGCAGATGTTAAAGTAAATGGGCTTGACTGGAATCTGCACCCTGCTTGATTGTCTGATTGTATGCCTTTGAAAGAGTTGGTTTAGAGCTTAGTGTGTCAGACAGTTAAGTCAGGGAATCAGTGGCAGATTGAGGGGTTTCATGGTTGATTCAAGGCAAAGATTCAGCAATTCATGGACCATGTCTTCCGATTAATAGATTGATGTCGGCAGAGGTCATCATGACACTTTGCAACATGTTATTGAAAAACTGAAATGATTTGCATATTTCTTCTACTCAATATGTTTTTTTCTGAAATATTAAGTTGATTGTTTAGGTGCAATGGTGGCAAAAGTTTTCCTTATTTAGTGCATGTTATCTGTGATGTTTATGCAGAAGTGGAAGTTTTGGGAAAGATGTATTTGCCACATCACCAGGAGTGACATCATCCACTCGGGGAAGCGGTGGGGCATTATTCACTCAATTGTGCTTTGGCATGTTAGGCTTGAGATGACAGTGATAATACTGTCAGAATTTGGAAACAGTTATCATAGGAATTAGATAGTGTTTTGTATGCTTAAGGTGAAAAAAGGGAAATTTGAGTGATTGAAATTAGCACACTAGTGTTATATCCTGGGCACTATCTACTTGTGTTATGTCCTAGGCACTATCCACCAGTGTTATATCCTGGGCACTATCCACCTGTGGATTAACCTGGGCTCTATCAACCAGTGTTATAGCTTGGGCACTATCCACCAGTGTTTTAATCTGGGCACTATCCACCAGTGTTTTAATCTAGGCACTATCCACCAGTGTTTTAATCTAGGCAATATCCACCAGTGTTTTAATCTGGGCACTATCCACCAGTGGTATAACCTGGTCACTATCCACCTGTGGATTAACCTGGGCTCTATCAACCAGTGTTATAGCTTGGTCACTATCCACCAGTGTTTTAATCTGGGCACTATCCACCAGTGTTTTAATCTGGGCACTATCCACCAGTGGTATAACCTGGTCACTATCCACCTGTGGATTAACCTGGGCTCTATCAACCAGTGTTATCGCTTGGTCACTATCCACCAGTGTTTTAATCTAGGCACTATCCACCAGTGTTTTAATCTGGGCACTATCCACTAGTGTTTTAATCTGGGCACTATCCACTAGTGTTTTATTCTGGGCACTATCCACCATTGTTTTAATCTGGGCACTATCCACTAGTGTTTTAATCTGGGCACTATCCACTAGTGTTTTAATCTGGGCACTATCCACTAGTGTTTTAATCTGGGCACTATCCACCAGTGTTTTAATCTGGGCACTTTCCACCAGTGTTTTAATCTGGGCACTATCCACTAGTGTTTTAATCTGGGCACTATCCACTGGTGTTTTAATCTGGGCACTATCGACTAGTGTTTTTGCTTGGCGTTATTCACTAGTGTTATGGCATGGGCACTATGATCTAGATTTGTGTTGATTCTTCTAGGTGGTCTAGAAGAGCTCCAGTCTCGGGCGGACCACCTTTGTGGGGTGGTGGGAAGCGAGAGACTGAGCAGCGCCGGCAGTGGCGGCACCTTCGAGTGGGTGGACAGTCTGCTGGTGAAGGCTCTACAGAATGGGGACTGGCTCCTCATTGACAACGTCAACTTCTGCAGGTAATTCTCAAGTTATCACCATGTTAAAATCTGATCAATGCCTAACACAATGACTTACAGGACAATGAACATATATTCTCTCATAAAATGGGAAAGGTAGAGTGGCCTAAGTCGTTCATGTGAAGGCCTGGGTTCCATTTCTGGTGTTCTCCAACATTATATTACTAAAATATTGCTAAAGCCATAATGATTCACTCACTCCTGTGAAATGTTGACACTTTGGTTGGAAATTAATGAAACTAGTTTAAATCTGACAGATTCACTATAGTAATATGAAAGAATTGGGTGTAATTTTACTTCTTTTGAGTTGTATATTTATATTTCATAAACTATGACACATACCCTGAGTCAGTCTTAGCTCCATTACTTAAACACAAACAAAAGATGGTGATTATAGTTCGATTTCATAAACTTTGACACAGAGCTATGATATTTTTGTAAGTTTGAGATATGTTTTGTGTTCAGTCCCTCTGTGCTTGATCGTCTGAACGCCCTGCTGGAGCCTGGAGGAGTCCTGAGCATCAACGAGCGGGGTGTTATAGACGGACAGATTCCAGCCATCAAGCCACATGCCAACTTCAGGTAAACAACAATGTATTTCTACAAATGGAACTGTTAACATGAAATGACTTGTTGTTTTCTGATATAGTAAACAAAGTTTATAACAAACACGCTTATAACGAACTGACCGATATATAGAACTTATTTTTTAGTCCCAGCCATTTGTTGTATATATATGCTGTACATATGCTTATAACGAACTACGATAATTACGAACTAAAATTATCGGTCCCTTTGAGTTCCTAATAACCATAGTTTACTGCAATTGTATTTCATTGTATTTTGTGACATGATGTGATGTTTGTATTTTCAGTTCGTCCTTTGTTTTTTGTCGGTCTTTTTTTTTTTACAATTAAGTAAACAGATTAAATTAGTTACTTAACATCTGTCATTACATTGTAGGCTATTTCTGGCCATGGATCCCAAGTTTGGTGAAATTTCTCGAGCAATGAGGAATCGTGGTGTTGAGATTTATATTCCAGGAGAGGTGAGTGAGACACTTTGGTGTACAACATATAAAGTACAGTGATTGTCTTCAGGTACCATCAGATGGGCTTCTGTCTGATGGGAGCTTAGTTACACTCTATTCAGTGTTTGCAGAATGCAGTGAGTTGATACCTGAACATCTCCTACACAATGGCCTCATTACCCTCCACCTCGTTAGTGTAGCTCACCTTCAGATGATTTCTGTCAGGTGCAAATGACCTACTTCATGATGCTGAGGCAGCTATAGTATCAGTGAAGGCAATGGCTGACTTCCCAGGGATGTATCTGGCTGACAATTTGTCCTTTGGTCAAAATTTGAATTTCTTATTTTCCTAAATATGGAGGTATTTTAACATTGAACTTTAACGTTGCATTCAATGCAGTAATGTAAACTTAAGCAAAGAACCTCTTCCTCTTTTTCGGTCCTGTTATCAATGACATACAAGTATCCCCCACAAAAACACAACAATAGTTACAGAAGAACCAATTTGTGAATTTTACTGACATTTGCTGCAGACTTGGGGTCAAATACCGGCCTCTGAGCAGGTCTAGATAAATTTCTGCTTGTGGATTTCAACTCCTTTATCTTTCCAACGCAACGTTTACAGGTGCTAGTATCTCTGCCAAGCAAGAGACACTGGAAATCACTTGCTTGATAAAGGTACTAGAACATGTACCATAACGCCATTGGAAGAATGAAAAAAGTCGAAATCTGAATGTTAACTTTTATACTTACCTCAGCTCCCTGGTTTAACCCCGTGTTTGTTTTGTTTCCCTGGAATTGGTTTAATCGTATTTCACTGGAATAGGTTTAATCGTATTTCACTGGAATTGTTTAATGTTTCACTGGAATTGGTTTAATCGTATTTCACTGGAATTGTTTACTGTTTCACTGGAATTGGTTTAATCGTGTTTCACTGGAATTGTTTAATGTTTCACTGGAACTGGTTTAATCGTGTTTCACTGGAATTGTTTACTGTTCAACTGGAATTGGTTTAATCGTGTTTCACTGGAATTGTTTAATGTTTCACTGGAATTGTTTACTGTTTCACTGGAATTGGTTTAATCGTGTTTCACTGGAATTGTTTACTGTTTCACTGGAATTGGTTTAATCGTGTTTCACTGGAATTGTTTAATGTTTCACTGGAATTGGTTTAATCATGTTTCACTGGAATTGTTTAATGTTTCACTGGAATTGGTTTAATCGTGTTTCACTGGAATTGTTTAATGTTTCACTGGAATTGGTTTAATCGTGTTTCACTGGAATCTGTTTCACTGGAATTGGTTTAATCGTGTCTCACTGACATTGTTTTAATGTTTCACTGGAATTGGTTTAATCGTGTTTCACTGGAATTGGTTTAATCGTGTTTCACTGGAATTGGTTTAATCATGTTTCTCTGGAATTGGTTTAATCGTATTTCACTGGAATTGGTTTAATCGTATTTCACTGGAATTGGTTAAATCGTGTTTCCCTGGAATTGGTTTACTGTTGCACTGGAATTGGTTTAATAGTGTTTCACTGAAACAGGTTTAAAGTTGTTATTTACTGGTATTGGTTAAATGTTTTAGGCCAATTGGTTATATAATCTGATAGTTCTCTGTAAGACATGCTATTGTTCCATGTGTTCAAAATATGGATCAAATTGATTTTTCCATGAATGTTTTTACATATCCCTTAAAGTTTGTGAATCTTTCTGGTGAAGAAATCTATTTCCTCTTACTGACATGGCCTTGTGCACTAGGATTATGAAGACAGAAATCAATTTGTCGGTGGATATCAGACAGTTTAGTTTAGAAATAAGAATTGTGAGCTTAGAAAGAATTTGTCTTAGAGATTTAGGAACAAATTAGCAAATACTTTAATTCAATGGCCAGGAAATTAAATTCCCCCTCTTTCATAAAGCAGTCTACTTGATGCTAGAAGCAGCTTTGAGCTGGCCACGTGACCTTGAGGAGAGCAGTGATCAAACAAGTTGATCATAAATACCAATATCACTAAACACAAGCAACATGGGATTTAAAGCTGCTAATTTTGAAAATGCCTGGGAGATTATTGACATAAATTTGGATTCTCAAATCATGAAAGACAGGATTATTGTGTCCAAATATTAACAGCTTTGATGTTTAATCCAAGAGATATTTGTGATCTGCTGAAATTATTTTACAATTCCAAGCAAGGAGGATCAGGTGGCTTGGCTTCAGCAAGAGTATTGTATTCAGAATTGAATTGGTTTGCCTCGTTGTAGTTGCAAAGTACCAGAGAAATTGGTAAGAATTTTTACATTTGTATTTTACATATTATTTTGATAGAAAGAAGAAAAAGAATTATTTGTAAATGGGGCACTTAACTATATTACAGTTGAAGGCAAGGGTGTGTAACACATATTGATTTGAACACAATAATAGACTAGCAACAAATGGAAAGAGTATCTCCAACAGACCGTTGCATAAGCTGGTACAGGCAGCTATAGCCTTGCTCCAAGGCTGTATTGAATGAAAAGTCCATGGATGTGTACTAATTCTATCCTCCTATAAATCAGGTCTAGATATGTGGACAGTACCATCTCTTATAGGGATAAGTTGTTCTTATTATTTACATCATCTAGAAATTATCATTTAAACTCATAATTTTTGCCCGAGACTTGTGCAGGTCTAAGGCAGCAACAATGTTGGCACAGTACTCACTCAGTGTTCCCTTCTGATGCTTGACGGCATAAGTTTGTAGAAATTCCAGTACATTTCAGAACAGCTATTATGTAGAAATTCCAGTACATATCAGAACAGTGATTGCATATTCACAGACAAGAAGTGGAGGTTTCAGTCACTACTGTCTCTATCTTCGTTCATCCAGAAATGTAATGGCAGTTTGAAAAAAAAACTTTATGAAACCTAGTTCTCCAATTACACAGTCTTTGCATGTCCAGGGCTGCTTAACATGCATCAGCTTTCTACCCTTTGATCGTATCTGTTGGAAGGCAGGGTGGCAAGAAATGCATGGATTTGACCCTCACAGATTGACTTCTACCTCAACACTGTGCTTGATTTGATAATACGACATCTAACGAGCCTTGTTACTCGCTTGATTAATTTGAGGAGTTGATGTGTTCAGTGGGGAATTATGGCTGGGCCCTGTGATTGGCTGATGTTAGGGAGCCATTACCTTGCCGGCAGTGGGGTTGATGGAGCACATATACTGATATGATTGTCCAGCGGATTATGTAAGACAATGGCTGCTTGGATGAGAAGTGCTTAGGACTCTGATGGTTTTGATTCTTGGCGAGCTGCTCGAGTGTTGATGGAGATCATGTGGTTGCTACCCACAATGCCCATTTCACAATTACCGGGCGTTTTTAAGTTGGGTAGTACATGGGTTTGGAGTCTGGATGAGTTAATGGCCATCATTCGGCTTTTAGAAGATGGATGGAAAATATGATATTTTGGTAACAAGTTATGAAGTGCAGAGATGGGTAGTGGCAATTTGTCACGCCATCCATGTTTTGTAAGCTTCTGCTCCGCCGGCACTGATTTAGATATAATGAAGCAGATGGGCAGATTATGAAATCTGAGATAATAAATCATTACTGCACAGTTTGAGACCATATTTAACAATAAGTAATTCATTTGATTGAGTAGCTATGAGGTTTATATGATATTAGCTTGTGATTTATCTGGTCACCTTGTTAGGGTGAAAAGAGCTCTCATTTTCACATATTTCAGTAAGTGTATATTTTGTCATTCAAAACTTGCGTCCACAGGAAATATTACTTAGGGGAGATCTAGTAATGACTCTGAGGAGATATTGCTACAATGAATTTCAGGACAATATCATTGTTCACCATGACGTCACAATCAAATTACATCAGGGGGTACGGGTGGCTCAGTCGAAGGTGCCGCAATTCACTCTGCAGAATTGAGTGCTTGGGCATGCCAGAAACCTCTGATTGTGGGTTTGAATCCGGTTTGCCCGATTATATTTATTGGTTTGTCAGCAACATTCCATGCTTGTGGGTTCCACCAAATTGGTAAACGTCGGAGACCATTTGTCACCTTGGGCTTTTCTCCCACATTAAGCTGTGATATAACTGGAATACTGTTAAAAGTGGTGTTGAACCCAACTCACTCACTCTCTCAAATCACATGACCTATCTGTCTGCCACAGAAGCTGGTTAGTGATATGGTTGACACTCAAGGCAGGTTGTAACGATACTGCGATACAGTATTCTATTGTCATATATACGAGTCCTGTATCGCGATATGTATGCTAATCCATTCCATTGCATGTTATATTGGTGTCAGAACATGTGAATAATTAAAGAAACTGTTCAGCCACCAGCATACACTGATATTTGACTATCATGATACAGCGTTCTAAATGTTCATGGTAGACAATGGTTGAACATAAAATGCCATAACATTCGCAGTGCCCTCTATTGATATATTTCTGCCCTTGAATATCCCATCTCTGAAATTTAATTACAAATGATTCAGGGTTGTGATTCACCTGCAAAAAGAAAGAATATCAACTTGTGAAATAGAAGTACTGTATCAGGATACGAATCGTATTGCACCCATAGCATCGGGATACATACTGTATTGCAACCCCAACGTATCTTTACACCTCTAAATAGAATCTCTCCCTCATGTCTTTTGATATCACACATATCATATCAGAACTTAGTTCTCGCTACCACTAAACAGAGATCTGAGGACATCCCATTACTGGTCACGTCAGAATGACCTTTTATCTGACCAGAGCATCACCTACCAGATCATGAAAGTGACAGTCGGGATGGGATTGCTGATCATTCAACCTCGGAGGATTTAAAACGGGGTATTCCAAACGACAGTTACAGGCTTTATGACTGAATCCATACAATCTAGGCCATCTATTAGCCATTCCAATATGTTTGTTTGTTCCGTTTTCAAACTTTTAATTGAGAATTTGTCAAATATGTTTCAAAACGTAGTAGCCAGTTTGAAACTAGTGCCCGAAGGCATGAGAAAGCTGCCTTCTGATTGGCTAATGTCGACTTCTTGGCAGTCATTCCACTGGTCGGCCAAATTCACGCAAGGTCGGTCTGACGTGACCCGTATTGGGATGTCCTCAGATCTTTGTTTAGCGGTAGCAAGAACTAAGATCTAATTTTAATGACATCTCTCTATCATGTATAGTTGATTAATAGGTCATTCAGTGGGGAGCTGGTTGCCAAGGCACATATCTGTGTATATATATATATACAGTATTATTATTATTGCAACCTTCTATCAATACATTATTGATCCACACAACCAGTGTTGATTGGGTCTGTTATATATACACTGGTTACAATCATGCCCTACACGACCTTTTAACGCCCCCTGTGGGTTATCCAGAGGTGCTCTGTTCCCAATGTTTGTTGTTGAAGTTCAGTAGCATGGATATTAATGTTTGATTGTGAAATCATGAAATCCCAGGGGCGGTGAGTAACTGCATGATAGCTGATGCTGCGTTAAGCAATACTCACTCACTCATACCCCAGGGTTTATGCTCATGCTGTTGATCACTGGTTTGACTGGCCCAGAACTACCAGAACTTAACTTATGACTGACTGTTTAATATTCATTTGGGGCTAGGGGCGGTCGGGTAGCCTAGTGGTTAAAGCGTTCGCTCGTCACGCCGAAGACCCCGCTTCGATTCCCGACATGGGTACAATGTGTGAAGCCCATTTCTGGTGTCCCCTGCTGTGATATTGCTAGAATATTGCTAAAAGTGGCGTAAAAACATACTCACTCACTCACTCATTTGGGGCTGTCAGTATGTCCCCAGGGCTTGTTTTTTCCCCCATCACATTTATTTTCAAGATAGCTTTCTTGTCAAGTTAACAATTTTATGTGCATGTTAAACCTGAGACTGCACTATATAGTACAAGTATTTTCTGAAAAGACAGCATTTTCTTTGGTCTGTTTGACAATATAGCTTGCCTGAACATTTTATTCATGGGATTAACATTATGCATATACATGACGTTTTGTCAAGTGAGCTGCAGTACCTATGGTAGACACCATGTTGAATATCCATCTGCATCAGAATATCACCATCTTCCCGAGGCAAGGGAGTTAACTGACTGTAAAAGTCACATTTCCACCCTTGTCTAACTAGGCTGGAATTCTGAAGCATGTCTACTGTCAACTGGGCATCGACAGATATTTTCATGTATTTTCAACTCTTTTCATGTTTTTAATCAAGGTGCTCAAATGATTTGATGCATTTTGCGAGGTGAGGCCCATTTCATTAAACATAGGTCTTGATTATCGATCAGATCATCTTGACTGGGCGCCGACATTTTGTTTGAAGCACATGCAAGTTATAAGAGAGGTGGAATCTGATTGGTCAATAATTACTAACTTGTAATAGCCACTTATGGAGCTACGATTGAGCCACAAATTTCCAGTGTAGTTTGGCAAGGGTGGAATCTGGACTTTTGTAGTCAGTTAACACCCTTGTCATGGGAAGATGTGATGTCACTTGGATGAATGAATCCAAGAATAAATCTGACTTACAGCATCAAACCTAAGTGGAGCTCAGTACTCCAGCACAGTACCCACTGTGCTACTGGAAGCTACACGTATACTGCAGTGTATCAATGAGGTTTTCTTCCCTGTAGGATGATGGCTGCCCTTATTCAACCTGTGACACAAAGAGGATGATGAAAGGTTTGGGCCTGCATGACAAGGCCTTGTGTGATTGGCTGGTTGATCTCCATGCCACAATGAAAGAGAGGCTGCCTCGACCTGACCAGCCAGTGCTAGTGGACTTGCTGTGTGTGTCGGCCATGATGGTCCAGCAGGTAGATCGAGGTGTGTCACGTGACAAGGCACTCTACCATGCAGCCAATGACGTGTATGTCAGGAGTCTTAAAACAACATTGTCCAAACAGGTGGGTTCAATTTAGAAGGGCCGGTTGGATAGTCTAGTGGTTAAGGTGTCAGCTCATCATGTCAAAGGCCCAGGTTTGATTCCCCACATGCATACAATGTGTGAAGCCTATTTCTGGGCTTGAATTTTGCTAAAAGTGGCCTACAATCATACTCACTCTCTCAATTTAGAAAATTATTTCAAGTTACAGTGCTATTTGAAACATTGTCATACATATGACATATAAGATCCGATAATTCTATTGGTTGTAAAAACATATGGACACAAAGCCACGTGACATCAGATTTGCTGCCAGCAAAATATATGTTTATGTTGATTATCATTATTCATATGCAATATGATATGATTTCTAGGTCGCCATGGAGATACTGACAGAGCGTGTGAAGACCTTTCAGAACGATGGTACCACTGGTCAAGTTGATGACTGCGAGCTTGGGTTATGGCCCTTGTCTCTGTGTGGAACGCACGACTATTGGCGGAACACGGCCCTGGCTAATGTTCAGAACCCAGCAGGAACCCTGTTCTACCTTGTAGGGCAGATCAAGTCAACATGGGCCATGTGAGTACTGGCTGAATGTCATAATGTGTTGGATTATTATGTTCAATCACAACGTTTAAGGAATGATATTGTTTGTACTCTTTAGATTGTTCTTTTTCCGTCCGTTTTTTTTCCATAATAAACTCTATTTAAACTCTCTAGAGTGAGTTATTTTCAAACAGGCCAAAAAATTATTTGACCAGACCAATTTGTCTCCAAGAATAATGTACCTACTGTATATAATACACGATTTAAAGAGGATGATGATTGCAATTTTTTTTATAGGCTTATTGTGAGATACAACAAGGAAAAGCTTTTAGAGAGACAGCATGAAAAACCAGTTTTCGCAGGTTACACGAATTAGACCAGTGGGGGAGACAGGCACCAAGTCTGTTCTTGAGATCTGTAGAGGACAATATTTAGTTCCAACGTCAATGAACTAAAAGATTTTCAATAATAGTTACTAGGCAGTTATATATTCCTTATATTCTTCAGTTATATGTCTGTAATATAATCGAGCAAATACAGACTGTCATGTAATTTTCGGCCTTAGTACAGGTGCTTATAAAGATTGAATACAGAATGGTCCTGAAGTTGCTTATAGAACTGGACTGCTTAATAAGGCAAATACGGTATTATGGTATGACATGTTATGTATATTTGCCGCTGCAGTTTCTAACAATACAAGGGGCAGTCGGGTAGCCTAGTGGTTAAAGCGTTCGCTCGTCACGCCGAAGACCCGGGTTCGATTCCCGACTTGGGTACAATGTGTGAAGCCCATTTCTGGTGTCCCCCGCCGTGATATTACTGGTATATTGCTAAAAGCGGCATAAAACCATACTCACTCACTCACTCACTCTAACAATACAAGACTAGTCCACTGCTGCACTCAAATTAGTTGTTCATGAAGCAGCACATTGTTGTTAATTGTTGTTAATGACTGGTTCCTCAGACTGTATTAAACCACTGAATGCTGATCTCATCTGAGGCCTAAGTAAGACCGGTCACATGGGGTTTGTTTCAGAACTGAAGACCTCGACTGCTCCATGATAACAAAACTGACGACCAAGTTAAGAATGGCAGCCGAGTTGTACATGTCACTCCTGCCGGAGAGGGGCTGGCAGACGGCATCAACGTGGCTTCAAAGGCTCATGGGACATCTGCTGCTGGACATGAGAGAGCTGCCAGCTATAAAGGGGCGACATGGATGGGCTCTAGAGAACTATGTGAGAGCTCTGCCGGGAGTGTTGGCTCTGTGTCTCAAGCAGGTTTCTGAACAACCAATCAGCTTGCAGTATAGAAACGCGCTCCATGCCCTGTGCGAGGGACAGGCTGAAGGTGTGTTAGCCATTTTGTCACTCATTGTTGTACAAATTGATTGATTGATCCAACTAGAACGTCTTGTCAGGTCTAGTGACGATGGAATAACACGTCTTGGGATGAGAGGGTCCTACGTGACAGTTACCCGATGCGGAAAGTTCAGATCATTCATTATTATGGGTTATACAAACCATTCCTCTTCCTTGAAACAGTTTCATGCTTACCCCTGTTTGGATAAACTGTTTTCAGTCTGAAGTTATTTTGCGAGTAAATTTGTCTTTTGTAGTTAGATACGCACATAACCATTACAATGAAATATATACAGTTTGGTGCATACTGATACATCTAACGGTATCGGGAGGTCGATTATGATGGGTTTGTCGTTTCTTACATAGATGTTACATAAATTTCTTAGGATTCTTAGTGTATTAATTTGTAGGAAAAGCATTTTGAATTTTCGTTTTCGGAGGTATGTATTAGGGTGATTAAAGATTATATGATTATACATGCACATCTTATGGAAATGATTTTTTCAGCTTTTATTTAAAGATTTCAAGACAAACCATCTGCTCTCAATTAACTTTATAACAGACCAGGTGTAGCTTGTATTTAAATGCTTTTCAATTTTCTCTCAATTATAAGATGGAGAAATATTTCAGGTTGCAATAAACTTTGAATGATGATGGTATATAATATTACATGATTGTGGTATACAATATTCCATGGTTGTGGTATACAATATTCCATGGTTGTGATATATAATGTTCCATGGTTGTATACAATATTCCATGGATGTGGTATACAATATTCCATGGATGTGGTATACAATATTCCATGGTTGTGGTATACAATATTCCATGGTTGTGGTATACAATATTCCATGGTTGTGATATATAATGTTCCATGGTTGTATACAATATTCCATGGATGTGGTATACAATATTCCATGGTTGTGGTATACAATATTCCATGGTTGTGGTATACAATATTCCATGGATGTGGTATACAATATTCCATGGTTGTGGTATACAATATTCCATGGTTGTGGTATACAATATTCCATGGTTGTGGTATACAATATTCAATGGTTGTGGTATACAATATTCCATGGTTGTGGTATACAATATTCCATGGTTGTTGTATACAATATTCCATGGTTGTGATATATAATGTTCCATGGTTGTATACAATATTCCATGGATGTGGTATACAATATTCCATGGTTGTGGTATACAATATTCCATGGTTGTGGTATACAATATTCCATGGTTTTGATATACAATATTCCATGGTTGTTGTATACAATATTCCATTGTTGTGATATATAATGTTCCATGGTTGTGGTATACAATATTCCATGGTTGTGGTATACAATATTCCATGGTTGTGGTATACAGTATTCCATGGTTGTGATATATAATATTCCATGAATAGGGTATACAATATTCCATGGTTGTGGTATACAATATTCCATGGTTGTGATATACAATATTCCATGAATAGGGTATACAATATTCCATGGTTGTGGTATACAATATTCCATGGTTGTATACAATATTCCATGGTTGTGGTATACAATATTCCATGGATGTGGTATACAATATTCCATGGATGTGGTATACAATATTCCATGGATGTGGTATACAATATTCCATGGTTGTGGTATACAATATTCCATGGTTGTGGTATACAATATTCCATGGATATGGTATACAATATTCCATGAATAGGGTATACAATATTCCATGGTTGTTGTACACAATATTCCATGGATGTGGTATACAATATTCCATGGATGTGGTATACAATATTCCATGGTTGTGGTATACAATATTCCATGGATGTGGTATACAATATTCCATGAATAGGGTATACAATATTCCATGGATGTGGTATACAATATTCCATGGTTGTTGTATACAATATTCCATGGTTGTGGTATACAATAATCCATGGATGTGGTATACAATATTCCATAGTTGTGGTATACAATATCCCATGGTTGTTGTATACAATATTCCATTGTTGTGATATATAATGTTCCATGGTTGTTGTATACAATATTCCATGGTTGTGATATATTATATTCCATGGTTGTATTTGTGACATGTATCAAAGCCTCCTAGTTGTCAGTGAAGAAACCACTCTCTCTATGAATGCATCTCATCTGCCAGGGGAGAGGAACGGAAACAGCCAATTATGTCTGACAAATTAAACTGCAATTGCATTAGGAGTGTCACATCTTAAATTTGGTTGTAATTGATATTGATTTCATGGGGATGGTATGTGATAATAAGGCATGTCATATTGAATACTGGTCTCAAATTGCAATTAATTTGACCTTGAAATTAACTGAAAATATAGATAATCTTGGGAAGTAAAACTTGTATTTTTCACTCAGACCAGGACACTTAAGCCCTGTCCCCTGTGTTGTACTACAGTCACTGCAGTGTTTAAATATTGTAATAAGGGATTTATCTAGATCTGCTAAGAAGCCGATATTTTCTGAAGCAGATGTCCATAAAACTTCCTAAATATGACTAAAATAGCAACAGTTCATTTTATAAAAGTTATAACTAATGTTATGTCTGTGTAGAGGCGACTTTCATTGACTATTTGACCAGTTAAGAGGAAGAGGCTTGAATGTTCGTTACAGTCCACGTATCGTCATTGTCATCATCAAGCAACAGCAGCAGCAGCAGCAGCATAGTTGTCAATGTCGTCATCACCATGATTATCATTAAATGACAGTAGTCTACAGAAGTTTGTGTTTCTGTTACTTCAGTGGACTCCGTCCTGGTGGATCAGCCATGGCACGTTGTGTGGAACCCCCATCTGTTGCAGCATCTCCGACGTCAACGATGCCCCGAGGGAGACCAGGACTGGTACCAGCTCACTGACAATCTGCACACTTTGTCATACAAGTGAGTCTAAACGACACAGTGGTTTTATGTGTCCAGATCTTTTATTCTTTGAAATGAGTTTATTGACTGTCTTAAAGGGGAGTTTGGTTCTGGTCGAATAAGGCAGTCCAAGCATGTGAGATTAATGTCATACAACACCAGCTTTGTTTGTCAGCTAATGCTAAATATATGATGTACGTCTATCAAGTACTACTGCAATAACACAGTAGCAATGGCTCGGTTTCACACACGTCACTTACACACACTTCGAGCTGGACAGGAAGCGATTAGTCTCCCTTTAAGGATGTTTGATAATTTGAGATTTTGTATTTTTTGAGAGGTAAAGTTACTTTTTTATTTATATGTTGTTGTTTTTAAATTTAATCAAAATGTTTGGTAGAAGAATTTCTGTGTTTGTGATGAAAATCCTGATGAAAATATGTTCTTAAAATTATGTTTTCTTTTCTTTGTAAAAATATACCTATAGTGTATACAGTAAACTATGTTTATAACGAACTGACGGATATAATTAAATGTTTTGGGTTCTCATCCATTTTCTGTTTGCATACTGTATATATGCGTATAACAAACTACGGTTGTAACATAACAAACTAGAATTAGTGGTTCTTTTGAGGTCGTTATAACCATAATTTACTGTACTTATGATACTAAAATGTGTCTTGGGTGCATTTGAATGAAGACCTGTCAAGATCCCGGTTAGATTAGGTCTTCAGCAACCCATGCTTGCCATAAAAGATGACTATGCTTGTCGTAAAAGGCGACTAATGGGATCAAGTGGTCAGGCTTGCTGACTTGGTTGATGCATGTCATCGATCCCAATTGCGTGGATTGATGCTCATGATATTAATCACTGGATTGTCTGGTCCAGACTCGATTATTTACAGACTGCCATCATATAACTGAAATATTGCTGAGTGCAGCATTAAACAACAAACCAACCAACATTTGAATGAAAGAAATTGAGAGAATATTGTAATTATACCTAAGGCTCCTGAAGATTTAAAAAGTTTAAAAAGTTATATGGAAGTCACATGAAGCTTAGGACCACCAGATTCTTTCACATCACTATAGTAATCCTGCCATGACCGATGAACTATCGTAACTATAGTAATATGAAAGAATCGGCTGATCCTGAATTTCGTTTAAGTAGTGTTTGTTACGATGTATGTTTTATTTTGGTGTCTTTTTCAATCAACCATTTATAATGGAGAACCACTAGAGTATCATTACAAAATGTACATCATCAGAGGTGTAATAATGCTTTGTGACTTAATGACCGCCGTCCAGACTACAGCGCTCCATAATGACATCAATGGGAGAGAGCTCGGAGTAGAAGGGACGACCAATTAGATTATATTTGTCTGTGGTCAGGATGTAGTTAATTAGAGCCTCTATTTGCAACAGTCAGATGCAGTAGTGTGTCAAGGAATAGAACCAGTCAGCAGAAATTATGACTGGGATACCTGATTTGTCTCAAGTCGGTTCAGGGAAGAAACCGCTGTAAACGAAGTAGCCACGTATTATGTGACGGGTGTCGTGGCAAGTGTGGTAATTAAGCATGTAGTGGGAAGATCGAAGCGTGGCAAACGTCCGTCCCCCCCACCACACACGTTCATACTGACCATCCAGGCAAATCTGTGTCCCAACATTGGGACTGTGTGGATGTTTGGGGAACTGTTTTGTGATGATGATAATGGACAAGACAGCTAGATATCGTTGATTTCTAGAACGTTGGGAATTAACCAAGATGATGGAGACACAATCCAAAAATGACAACCATTATGAGCTTGGTAGAATCATTAGGATCTTTTGAACCAAATTCTTCCATTATGTTTTAACAAAATATATTACAAATTTTGTCCAAAAAACATTGCCTGTAATTTAAGCTAAATATTGACCTTGTGACAGTCATGGTCGTATACATAACTTATTAATAATGTACTATCGGTCATTTGTTTTCATTTAGGTAAGGTTTTGAGGAGTTTTTGTGATAAAATGTAATACTATTACTGTTATGTACCGATATTAATTACTATATCTTTTTAAAAAAAATTCATTTTCGACGCCAATTATCCCAGATGTTCCTAAATGTGGCAGTTTTGGGTTTTCACATGACGGAGGAATGTCACTGTTGCTAATTTCAGTGTTCATTGTATGATATTGTTTAAAAAATATCCAATTGTTATGATATACTACTCAAAAGAAGTTAAAGAACACAAACTTGTTTCATATGACTATGGCTAATCTGTCATGTCATGACAGGTTAACTATGGTCATATGTAAAAATCAGGTATTCTTTAAATTCTTTTGAGTAGTTTATATATGTAGTTATTTCATTTCCAAAAGACACAGCTTCTATTAAATTATTTATATTATTATTATTATTATTTTTCTGTAATTATGAATTCATGACCCATGTACATGATGTAAGTGTTTAAGGTCTATTCTGTCTGTGTTACCCAGATGTATTCAGGTTATTTTTGCTGTGTGTTACACAAATGTATTTAGGTTATTATCTGCCGCCACAAAGTAGAAAGGGGATATAGGAATGGGTGCTGTTCATTCCATCTTTCCGCCCTTCCATCCATCTGTCCGCCCACCACGTTTTGTTTCTGGGCAGAACTAAAAAACCATAAGAGATATCTTAACAAAACTTGGCACATAGATAGGTCTAGTGGTGAACTGGTGCTTTTTGATAATTTGGGATTTAAAAATTAAAAATTTTTTTTTGAGTTTCCATGGCAAGGACTTTGACTTAAACCGAAAATGGTCGTAGTGCTCGTTCCCTGAGCAGATCTTGGAAACCATACAATATTTCTTCACCATACTTGGCACATAGATAGGTCTAGTGGTAAACTGGTGCCTTTTGATAGTTTGGGATTTTTGAAAAAAATTATTTTTTAGTTTCCATAGCATTGACTTTGACTTAGACTGAAAATGGCGGTAGTGCTCATTTCCGGAGGGCTAATGCCTTGCACACAACCAGACATGCCATATTGGTGGGGGATATGAGTAGTTCATGTAGTGTGTGAGTGTTACGGTATATATGTGTATACATATATATTTGAGTGCCCATGGTATACGCTTCATATTGCCTCCTGCAGGGTGTGTCTGCTGCTCCACCTGACGCTGGTGTTCCGAGACCTGCAGCCGATGGTGGAGACACTCTCCGGCCTCCAACACACAGGTGAGATACACACTTTACGTGCACAGTGAGCAAGACTATCTTGATATACAGTCAAATCCTGCCCATCTGGACACTATCAATGTAATCACGTGGCTAAAGAAATTGTTGCAGAATTTGTTGTATGTATGTGGATGTTCCTCAGCCCTACCTTGGAACTATCGGTACATTGGGCTTTCCTAGTCTCAACCTTTGGCCTTAACTCTGGGCCCATCTCTTGCTTGGGCCTATCTGTAAAGCTTGCTTGGGCTTATTTGTAAAGCTTGCTTGGGCCTATTTGGAAAGCTTGCTTGGGCCTACTTGTAATTAAAACTTGCCTCTAGCCTATCTACTAAGCTTGCTTGGGCTTATTTTTAAAGCTTGCTTGGGCCTATTTGTAAAGCTTGGATGGGCCCATCTGTAAAGCTTGCTTGGGCCTATTTGTAAAGCTTGGATTGGCCTATCTGTTTAGCTTGCTTGGGCCTATTTGTAAAGCTTGGATGGGCCTATCTGTAAAGCTTGCTTGGGCCTATTTGTAAAGCATGCTTGGGCCTATTTGTAAAGCTTGTATGGGCCTATATGTAAAGCTTGCTTGGGCCTATTTGTAAAGCTTGTTTGGGCCTATTTTGTAAAGCTTGTTTGGGACTATTTGTAAAGCTTATTAAAGCACTAGTCGTCGGCTCCTAAGTTTAACAGTGCACATCTTTTTGCACAATCCTCAAAGCTATCTGAACTGAGTTTCTGAACTGATATTCCTCCTGTCTGCTCAGAGAGAGAAGAGAAAGGGCTTTGTCGGATGCATTCTCAGTTCGTTTTTCTTAAGATTAAATGAGAAAATTAAAGATTCATCTTCATCTATTTGACAAGTCTGAGTTTTTAGCCATCCTGCATTGTCCAAATCTTTATGCCACAGCAGTTTGTTTGCGCATTCTAAGGTGATTTGGGAATATTTTTGTGGCTTTGACGCAGCCTGGAAATGATGAATAGGCCGTAAAAGATCCTATGCATGATATTAAGGTGCTTAATGCATGTTCGGTGATTTATATCATGTTATAAACCAACTAGATGAACAATTTGACACCGCGACAGCTAATTTGAAGGCAATTATCTGGTGAATGAATACATTTGCAAGAACACACAGCAGGGGGTAAGCAGGCGACAAATTTATGAATAAGTTCCGCAGGCAATGTCCCGAGGTCTGTGAATGTTGACTAGGCTATTGATTCCAGCTTTATGGGGGCTCTACGCCCTCAGCAGTGATGAGTTTACTGGGGCCAGGGGCACTTTTACCTTGTCTTTTATGAAAGTTGAAGTTTTCTATGAATAGTGAACTAGAAGGATTCTCTGTAATGATGGCGTGTGTGATTATTGAGGCTATATGGCGACTGTTAACTGCATGACAATCACGCATCAATGGCACTTGAGGCTGTGTGCTTAGCAAAGGATTGCTGTGTAGATGCGAACATTATTTACACATGGGAATGTGTGCAGGTTATTTTAGGGTATTTATGTATTTATATCATTCATTTTCCAGCGCTTTAGTATCCATCATGACGTGATGAACATTCATAAAACATTTTTTTTTCTTTACACCATGACACAAAAATACTTTATGGCAGAAAATATTCTGTTTGTTTATTCAGCTTTTCTATGGAATGTAAGATAAGAGAAGAAGTAATGTGTTTATTTATTGGTGTAGCTTGGCTGTTCTTTGAATTCTATTGTTCTACTGACTTCAATCGAATGTGGAGTGAGCTGATCTGCAGAAGTGAGAGAGGACTTGCTTCTCCATTTGTTTTAACATGAGATTTATAAGGCAAATTAAGAAATGTCATTTTCTTGCAGTTTAGTTAGTGATTGGTTTACCTTGGCCTTATGTGTACTGAACCTTATTGGAGTAGCCAAGTGGGTGATGTCCTTACTGAGGGCAAGACACGGGTTTGATTCCTACATGTGACAAATATATCTCATGTACAATCTATTCTTGCTGCCCTATTGTGACGCTGCTGCAATAGTGCTGCAGGCAGCATAACACCTCACTCACTCACTCACTCACTCACTCACCCCATCACTCACTCACTCCCTCACCCCATCACTCACTCACTCACTCACTCACTCACCCCATCACCCACTCACTCACCCCATCACTCACTCACTCACTCACTCACTCACTCACATCACCCACTCACTCACTCACTCACTCCATGCTTCTCAACCACAGAACAAGATATCTTGGTTCTAAAGTTAACATTTTAGTTGGGAGCTAAAGTCACTTTAAAACAATTTTTTCTCTTATAATTTCCCTGATGTGACATTTGCTTTTACTCTCAAGAAATAACCTCAGGAAATTTGCTGCATTAGAGCAAAAATGATATATCACTGGAAGAGACATTTAAACAAATTGCTTGGAACATGTTCACTATGGTTGTGAGTCGGCAGACATGATGTACAAATCAATAATATTTTTCAAAAATATTTAAAGTGATTATGAATGGCAGGCCTTGTTGATTTGCAATGAGTGTTGAAAAATTGTCTTCGATTAAGATATCATTTGAAGTTATGATTTTAAGTGAAAGTTTTCATTTTTGTTGAACTTATTCAACATGATTGTGAAAATTAATTGGGTTTCTATTTAACCTTTAAGTGAAAAAAATATAAATTGTAGGAAGATTGATTTGAAATGTCTGACTGAACGCACAAAAATTAACTTCACTAAATTCACTTGCCATTCAGATGAACGTCGAGGTGGAGTATGGTGACTATTGCATGCTATCAATTTCAATTAAAGTTAAAAGGGTGTACTTAAGAGGTTGATCAGATTAGATTGAAGAAGCAAACAAATCTCCCTTTGGTCAGTGTAATTTCCTTCACGTCGACTAGTACAACATGAAGATTGTGCAAGACACTCTGCTCCCTCCACTCGCATACATAGAGCAGCGTGTGAACAGCCAGCTCCCCAAATTGAATTGTTGCCAATATTGGGCACCAGATTGACATCGAGCATTCATAGTCTTGGTCACTACACAAAACTTATCAGTCTAAAAGCTTTGGAGCACAAAATATTAAGAATTGATATAAATATATGGCTTTTGTCAATGGGCCCAATTTGTCCAGATGCTAAAGAAATGTAGAAGAACATTTGGTGATTGGGAGAACAAGTTGTTTTTTGGTAGAAGTCTCGCTCACCCTAAAATATAGGAGACAAGGGCTGGGTCTTGCCATGTATGAAGTTAGATCCCCATTTCTGTTAGGAATTATTTTATATCAAATGTAACAAAAGAATAATGATGGGTATGTACAGAACACAGAGGTGAAGGTTAGTGTAATACACATAACAGGAGGTAGGGTAGGTGAGCGGGTGCATCCACAACTCAACCCACTCATGGTAAAGTTTAATCTCAGCTCATGGGTACAGCTTGAATCACATGATTTAAGACCATACTCACACATACATATACACTTGCCATTTCTTGCCAACTTGTCTTGATCTATTTGTTGAATATTATGTCGATCAGTTCTCTTACATTCGCTATATAATATGATAAAGATCCATACTGTTCAGTAAGTATTGTTTGAGTATATTTTGAATAAATATGTGACAGGACATTCATGCCTATTACATTGACATACATAGTTGACATAACTGAGGTTGATTTTATAACAAACACTTCTCAAAAGAAGTTAAATAACGCCTGATAGGTTCATATTATTATAGATAATCTGTAGTTAAGTGGTATATAATACAACAACAAATAGCTATCCAATATTCATTGATCCGATTCTTCAATAAGTCAGTGCAGTTCTTACAACCCGAGCCGATATCTTCTATATGTACATAACATACACTGGTACAATAATCTAGTTATTCCCGACTGGCTGTGACATACCATGCCGTATCACATAGAGGTCCAATCATAGAACTAGTTTGTAACTTCTTGGTGTGAGGGATGAGTGGTAGGACTTACCTGCTGGCTTGTAGTACATGGTAGCAGCTCTGACGGTATTCCTCCACACGGATCAAACTCCTGGATGTCCACTTTGTTGCAAATCACGGACAGATAAGCCTATTGATTGTGGAAGTTGCTCAACTTGCGTGTGTTGAAGTGATTTACCTTTAGCCAATGGTGTCTTAATACATGCTCCTCGCCTTCTGTAATGAGATTGGTGGAGAGAAGGGCTGTTCGCTGGAACGATGCTTGTGATACCACTCAATAAACGTGATTACACGAGTGTAGCGCAGGTAATCTGGCCAACTTACGCGTGGCGCTATTTGCATTAATGTCGAATTTTTATTTTGCTGCCTGCGTGCTGTCGGGAGAGAATCATGTAGGAATCGTCTTGAAGACATCCGTACCTAATCCTGATTGAGCCATTGTTGTATTCAATTTTCTTCGAGCTATCTCTCGCCTTCCAAGTCGCACTGATGTATACAAGTTTAAATATCGGCCATTCACTACCTACTGAATTGATTGCAAAATGTCAATAAGATCTTAATGACTTGAGCGAGCAAGATGAACCAATCACACGATTAGCAAGATTGAATTGAGCACGACCTGGGCACAGCTGAGTTTTGAGATCATGGAGAAAATCAAATTGTTTGCCATAAAAGCTGGGCACTCTAGAAGAGATATTCTTGTTCTCGGCAAATTAGGCTTTTCTTTTACTGGAATTCGGCACTTCAGCGCCAGTGGATATGTTATTTTCAGCAGCATCCTGAATGCAACAGTCCCGCATTGTAGGAAGGCATGTATTTGGAAGTAGTGTGTAGAGATCCATTAAAGTGGGGCAGTGTCCTCGGGCTAATTGTCGTGCTTGTTCCTGTTCGTCCCTGTCAGTTGTCACATAATCAATGTATTAATTTCCTCACTCCAACAACCCTTCTCACGTCCTTGCATCAAGAAAGAAAGTAAACGCTATAATATTGATAGAAGCTATTTGTAGGTTCTTCAAAGATGCTTCACTTATTGAAAGGATTTTTTGCGTTTGTCAATTTAAATCCATTGAACTAATAGAAATGACATTCG